TATATATAGTTTTTTTAGAAGTAACATTTTAAAACCAGGATCCAAGCGAAGACAACAGTTTCACCCAGTTTGAATCTGGAAGCAGCGTTTTGGTCTCAAAATTGACTTGATTTTTATTCCCTTCAGGGCTGAAGAAGCCACCAACAGTTTGATATCAGGAGGTCCAACACTGCTGAAGACTGAGGCTTTCAGACACGATTCAGATGAAAATCGGTCACACATATTAAAGCTTTGACTTGGATATTTTCTTTTCATATTAAGAAAAACAAGTTAACAGTTAAAACTATTAACAAGAAGTAGAATAAATTATAGATAAATAAGTATAAAAATCTGAAAGACTCAGTTTTGTTTAGAGRGTGAGAAGCTGTTCTCATCTTCAAATGGACCTCTGGTCAGTTGGGGGTCTGTTTGGTGGTCTCTGGGCTCGGCTGAGGTGGAGGAAACAGGAGGAGCGCTTGATGTTGCTGAAGTGAAAACATTGTTAGATGGACCAAGACGCAGGCAGTCAAATAYCTCAAGACATCTGAAGGGAAGAGTATGTGACAGCATTACAGTCTAATGATAAAAACAGATGATTCCAACATTAAAAATGAAAATCTAAGAGATGCATAGAAACTGCAGTATAATGTAATATATGAGAATGCTAAATTCCCATTTGCACCCGTTTCCTCTTTCTCCTTTCCCATTCCTTCCTGCACCTGGGAGTTTAGATCGATTTGACTTGTTTATCATCAGTGACACTTTGCTTGTTCACATCAAAGAAAAGATGATTAAGTTGAAATTATTGGAAAAATATACCATTTGTAGTATTTAATGAAAATTAGATATGAAGATATCTTATGTTGTTTTGTTACGTTTTTTATACATTTGGAGATAGTTGAAGCTTGTTTGTTGGTTTTCTTCACTCTGCACTCTTTTCATTCACTGCATGATTTACATTTTTTTAATTTACTGTATATAAATTTGGTTTGTATGAATGAAACACATTGAATGAAACTAAAACTCAACCGTCCTGCCACCCCTTAAAGTCAGGAACAGCTTAAACCAACTGGGGGGACTTAAGAAAAAGCTTTCCAAGTCTGTTTTTCAAATAATCATCTCCACCAAAAACCAGATAAAATGAAAATGAACCTAAAGATACATTGAAATGTTGTTAATGACATTTCTTAATGATATTCCTGATTATTGAATGAAACTGACAAGAAGCTGCTGCTGTGACGCAGATGGTCGTGATGCTGAAGCCCTGGACGATGCTGGTGGCCACAGCGTTATGTGTGCTGGTATGTCTGGGAGCACTGGCAGATGCCTACCCCCCAAAACCAGAAAACCCCGGCGAAGACGCGCCTCCTGAAGAACTGGCAAAGTACTACACCGCCCTGAGACACTACATCAACCTAATCACCAGACAGAGGTATCCCTCAGGGCCATGGACTGGTCCACACACACACACAATCTTTTACCCTTATACACACACACACACACACACACACACACACACACACACACACAC